CTAGATCACAAACATACAACCAAAGATCTTGCTGGCTATTTTCGAGGAGTTTTCTTATGAACGAAATATTTTCCCAAACACCGATGTACACCACCACTCAAGAGCCTACACACGCCATAGTGAGCAGCAGTTGGCGAATACACTAGTTTACACAGTTGTGGATGGTTATTCTGTTATTTAAATCCAGGAAGGGCCACTACGAAACCGCGATTTCGATTTTAAATTAAAGTGCACTCCTATGTACGAATGTAGCTTAATTATAATTAGATTCAATCCCTATATCGTCCAATATAGGAATGCAATTTAATTTTACTTAATTAAACTTCAATCCTATATAGGAATGCATATTTTAAATGCAATGAAAGTCAGGTTTAATTTAAGTTAAATGCAACAGCTCTTGGCATGGGCATTGGAATAAAGGAATAAATTGGTATATAGCATACCAACCTATATCCTCAACCTAACGCCAAGACACGTATTCCATAAAACAGACTTCAATGTTAATTTTTCAGTTACGTGAGTCCAGTTCCGAATTGTATATGCAACCGAGCCTTTGCTTTACTTAGCGAAGATCACGAATCGCAGATCGTGGTTTCGTCGAAAACATGCAAATGAGAGCACAGTTTAATATGCGAATTGAGCGGTTTGGGTAGATAAGGTTCCATATATATGAATAATCAGGGCATTTGTAGGCATTTTGACCACGTATGCATTGTATTATCGTTGTTGTTCACGTTATGGTTAGATGAGGTTAAGGTTAGACAAAGTTCATAGATCAAAGTTCATCAAAGTTCTTAATGGTCTCATTAAAAAAATGTAAGTCAGGGTTCCTGGTTGGACTGTGTGTAATAGGTCACCTTGAGTCGATGCATATATACAAGATAAAATTGTATATGTCGATCAACCTGTCGACAAACAATCTGACCTCTGGTTGGTCTGAATGTTACGTGTCAATACAGTGTTGTGAGTAGCTACATATTAACTCCAAGAAGTATGGTCATAACATACTGGTTTGCAGATTTGTTTCAGAGCATCGATACAGAGCATTACACATAACATCGTCTGAGTTTGTAATATTTTATCAATATGTCCTGTCAGGCAGATGTTCAGATGTGATATGATAGTGTCAGTCCTGAGAAAACTGTTTTAAATTTACCTGAAATGTGGACACAATACGAATATCCATTGAATGAACAACAATAGCCTATACCCAGTTATATGGTGTGGTTGCTTTCCAAAGGTCAGAGGTCAAAGACTTAGAGACTCGGAGGCATGTGCTGATATTGTGAAAGCCCCTTGTTTTATATGTGTATGACACGATGATTATTTGAAAACAGATTGAAATATATAAATACAATCCATTCTCGATAACTAGAGTGTGTTTTTTTTCTACTCGCTTGAAAAAAACATTTATATAGAACGGATTAAATTGTCACCGCGAGAGGGGGTGATCACACAATTTTGATGACTAAATGTTATATTATGTTGAGCCGTTTCTACGGGTTATTCAAATCATGTTTTGTAGGTCTGAAAATGGAGTCTTCGGATGAGTAGACCATCGCTAATTGCCCAAATGAAAGGACTACTTTACGTGACCATAGTACATTTACCAATTATGCCCGCTACGATCGTCCATTAACAAAAATATATTTTACCCACATTTTATTATTTTTCACTTTTATTTTTTTAAGTCAGTAGATCATTAAGACCTGGATTATGATGTTTTAATTATTTAAAAATTAAAAAAATCTTATTCAATAATATTAATATTATATATTATCCTGACCTCTGGGGCTCTGACCTCTGAAAAGTCAACCACACCTCAGTTATATTGATACTTGTGAAAGATGCGGTCAGTTTTTTATCTTCTTGGTAAAGTTATTTTTCTTATGACACTGACCTCGCATCGTCCGAATCGCACGGGTTCGTGGGTCGGTTATAAATGGCCGGCTTAGGAAAAGCTGTAATTCACTGTAGCTAAATTGAGTCATTTGTTGGACACACCAAGGAGCTGCCGCCACCAATCAGAGTTGCTGTGTCATACCAGGAGTAAAGAACAGAAGGTCTATATTCGTTGACATGTTTCCAATTTGAATGAGGACGATGGAATGTCTAAATATTTGTGCAAATTGAGTTTTAGTTAACTGACAAAACTGTCGAAACTGATAAGATATCGGCTTGCCGATTCGATCATCGTTGCAACACAGTCGGGGGACGTCATTTTCCTCAGACACATCACTAAACGCTTTCTTATGATGATCAATAAGCTCGCTCAGAGTAAAAAGCTAGAAAGACGTTTATTTGATTCCGCCATTTTTTATTTTTACCAAGTAGTGTGTAGTTTCTTTCTTGAGTTCGGATTGGATGATACAAATGATCCGAAGTGGATCTTATACTAGTAAGAGGGCGTGCGATATACAGTAAATCGTGGTGAAATCTGCCAAGGGTTAATGTTGAGGCTTCGGCCGAATAAATGGTCCTTGGCTGGCAAAGATACTGACATTATGTCTTCGCCCTTTGTGTCGATCGCGTCGATTGGTTGTTTTTATCGCTGTGATCACAGACTGGTCACTAATCTTATGTTTCTCTTGTTGTACGGTGTTCCGTGTCTCGTTGTTCACCTAATCGCAAAGGGTCACATAACGTCTTCCCATCGGCCACCGCCCATCCCCAATGAAACAAAAAAACTGCTTAATACCCGAACTTATTACATGCAGAGAGCGTGAAACCTGCCCATTCGATCCACGTCACACAGCGTAGCCAGACATTTCGACAAAGGCCTTCAGATTTTGCTGCACCGGTATAACGATGCCCGACCTTACCAACCGTTCCTAGTAGATTCGCTTGTTCAAACCCCGTTTTTTAACAGTGACAACCGTGATCTACCTAGTGCTCATTTACATAGTCTTCCCTGAAATCATACACGCTCAGGATATTAGCGAATGGGGTAAAATGCGCCCTCGTCATATCATACACCAACTATCAACGTCTCATTACATTTATGTGACATGACAAAGACAAAACATCTGTATAATGCAATGCATTGATATCGTTCGAAAATGTCAATTATTTAATTTGTAAAACGATATTTTTGTTCAATTAGTTGAGAGAGATATATCGCCCATGGTTGTGTGAATAGTTATAATCATTGCGCGGCGATTTAAAATTATCTAAAGCCGCGTAGTAATCCGACAGACTTATAATCAAATTTATTTTACATTTTTATTCCCCTGACAAGAATGTGCTCATTCCATTATAACATTAATCTTTCTCTTAATTCCTCTAGACGTAGCTTTCTTCTAACCACTCATCAAACTAAATTCATTTTAAATAAACCGTTCGGGAGCGATTGGCTAGTACCATTGTAGTGTATTTATACATTTTCAATATCCAAAATAATGTAAATCTTCGTACTGTGTGTCATATCCATTCCATACAGCTTTCCCTCATTCCATTATAACTAGTGTGATCACAAATCTTTAATTAAGTTAAATAATAATTAAATATCGGTGAACATATACCCTTACTGCTGCTTATGCACAAAACGTGTTGGCTGGTTCAGTAATATGTTAGTAGTTGTTTGATTGATTGATTTTATTGATTAAAATATTTTTAATGTTTGAAGGAAAAAATGCTTATGTGTCAGAAAAATAAAAAAAATAAAATACATAGCGCCATGGTAATATTTAGTTTAATTTGGATCTATGTGCCCTAGAAAGAAAAAACAATTGATTGTCACATTAAGTTTGCACTCACATTTCTGTGAGGGACTATCCCTGCTAGCTGTATGTAATAATACTTGTAGTTGATAAGTATTTAACATGTTATATAATGACATAGATAGCGAGAAATCTACTTTATAATTATTTAATGTAACTTTATACAGCACTCTCAAATTAGTGCCCAGTTAATTGGCTTTATTTTTTATTGAAGTTAATAATACAAGTTATTTGTGTATTTAGCTTGTTGTGATATTTGACTTTTAATATATTTACAAAGTCTGAATACAACTTTAACTAAATCTCCATACAAGATGTTATTCGAGCAAAATCGATATCCCTCCATGTTTACCCAGAGATATCGGTGTTGATCTGGTGGAATGAATTATATATCTTTGTTTCCTAAACTACTGTAATTTTCAATCATAGCAGCAGTGTTAATTTTAAAAAGAGTGTTTGAATGAGTAATTAAAACATGTTTTGATGAATATTAAAGGCGGTGGTCGTCGCGCCGCGTATGTGCGACGTTTGTGTTGATAAACATTGATTTTCCCACAATCCAATACGCTCTTCTAATGGAATCAAGAGTATGTGTTTTTACTAAGGTGCAACGTG